AATGGGCTCCAGAAAGCCAGCTCACTGCAGGCCAGTCTTATAAAGGCATTTTCTCAATTAAGATTCCCTCTTCCCAGATATGTCTAGATTCATGTCAAGTTGACAAAAATCAACCACCACAAAGGATTTACTTTCTTTCTTAAGATTTTATTTTATGTGTATGAATGTATACACTGCAAGTATATATATGTCCCATGTGCATGTAGTGCCTGTGGAAGCCAGAAGAGGGCATTGGAGTCCCTGAAACTTGAATTTTAAATTTCTGTGAACTATAGCATGGGTGTTAGGAACTGAACGCAGGTCCTCTGCAAAAACAAGTGCTCTCAACTGCTGGTTTAACATTTCCAGTCCTCATAAAAAGAGAGATTGTTTTTTCAGTTCCCTAGAAGTCATTTCCCTTCTTAGGAAATATGTAAATAGAAAGGTTAGGGTTCTGATTCCATTTGTATCTACCTTTTTTCTAAGCACAGTAGGAGAAGTTTCTATCTGGTAATTACTAATTTAAGAGTAAAGTAGTGTAATGTAGTAAGAACCATACTTTTGTCAGCCCTGGTAGTTGTGTTATCCCAGATTCTTGGGAGGCAGGAGAATTGCAAGTTCAAGGTCAGCCTGGGAAATTTGATGAGACTGTCTCAAAATAAAGTTTGAGGGCTGGGGATGTATCTCAGGGGAAGAACACTTGCCTGGCATGTGCTGGGCCCTGAGTTCAACTCCTTGCACCACCAAGAGAAAAACATCTTTTCATCTGAGTTTAGTTTTTGCTGATTTGCAATCTTCTAGAAAAAGGAACCATGCCTGGAGAGTGAGACATTTTCATTAGAAGAAGAAAATGAATTTTCTAAAGGCAGTGGGAGGAAGGTAAGACAGCCCTACCTAGTATTTATATTGATCTCTTCCACAGGAGACTGTGCATTTCTCATAGATAAATACTTTATTTTATTTGATTTCCTTGGTAACCAAAATCTTTCTTTTATTATTTACTTCTTTCTTTTTTGAAGATTTATCTTTATGTGTATGTGCTATGCCTGTATGTCTGTCTGTGTACCACGTACATGCAGTGCCTGGTGCCCAGAAGAGGGCATCAGATTCCCTGGACCTCGAGCTGCCATGTGAGTGCTGGGAACTGAACCCGGGTCCTCTGCAAGAGCAGCGGGAGCTCTTAACCACTGAGCCATCTCTCTGTCCTCTAAGCTTTCTTTGTACATGGAAGGAACAGGACTATCATTAGGTTAAATTTGTTTTCTGAGACTTGCTAATAAGTACATTTTATGATCATACTGAGTTTATTATTGCCTGCTCTTCTCTCCTATTTTCTTGGAGAGAAAAACTCTTAGGAATAAATATCTTTCTGGAAAACACCATTAATGTAGTTTTACCTTTTGTTTTGTTTTGTTTTAAGGAAAGAAAGGCAGCGAGGTTAAGTAAGGAAGCCTTAAAAAAGCTGCATAGTGAGACTCAGCGTCTCGTCCGAGGTAATGCAAACCAGTAGGGTAAACTTTGAGGGGAGTCATGGGTTTTGTTGTTGTTGTGGAGGTTGTTTTGTTTTGTTTTGTTTTGGTCAGCTCAACTTGGATATTGGGGAGTTGGTCTGCTAACACTCCTAACGTGAATTCACATTGTGATAGGAAATTTAGAGTTAAACTTGATAAATGTTGTTCTCAAGCCCATGGACCACTAATATAAACAGAAAGTTTGCAGAATTGAGGTAGAACTAAAGGAGAAACTTTGTTTTCAGATATATATATACACACAAACATATATATGTATATGTATATAAATGTGTGTGTGTATGTATGTATGTGTGTGTATATATATATATATATATATATATATATAATATTTTAAACTATTTGTATATGTATGTATGTACGTATGTGGGAGGGTGCATGTGAGTGTAATTGCCCACAGAGGCCAGAGGAAGTCAGATCCTCTTGAGCTCAAGTTATAGGCAGTTGTGAACCGCTGACCCAACATGGGTTCTGGGAACTGACCTCGAATCCTCTGTTGTCTGTGGACTGACTGCGACACAATCCCTGTAGGAAGTTTTGAAATGTATAGACTTTTAGGCCCCACAATGATTCTGACTCGATAAGTTTGAAATGGGATCCAAGAAAATATATTTGTTAAAATCATTCTAGTTTATTTTGCCTGGCATATGGTCCAAGGCCCTCAAGGTGTTTGAAGCTGGGAGGATTGAGAGCTTGAGATCAGCACGGACTACACAGCAAGTTCCAGGCTAGCCCATGTTACACAACATGACCCTGTTTCATAAGAAAACAAGTACAGAAGCCAGGGGTCTCGAAGGGGCTTGCTTGTGTTTGCTCTTGCCCCCGGTAAAGCAGGATTGTTTTCTGTTTCTCATGATAGCTTTGTTTTATACTGTTTGGTTAACTGAGTATGAAGTGACATTTCAGAATATACACTTGAGTATTTCCTTGTTTTGTTCCATTTTTTTAGAATCTGCACTTAATCTTCCATATCATATGCCTGAGAATAAAACTATTCATGATTTCTTCAAACGTAAACCCCGGCCCACTTGCCAGGGAAATGCCATGGCCCTGCTAAAGTAAGAACCTACTTTCCTTGTGATTATAGTCTTAGTGAATATTCAGTTTTGTAGCATCTGGTATAAAGTTCAGACTCCTTAGTCCCTTAAAACTGATTTAAACGATTCATTCTGTGTTGAGGGATGAGAGTGTTTCACAGTGAGAATTTTGAGAATCTTCAATTCCAGCTCGTTTCCCCTTCTCTAGGTCATGTAAGTATCAGTCAGGCCATTACAAGGAAGCCATAAACGCAGCAGATGCAGCTGGAGTGAATGCCGATGGCCCCAGCAAAGGCTGTGAGCAGACGACAGGTGCAGAGATTGCAGAGGAAGCTAGTGTTCTCCCTGAGGTCTCTGAAGAAGCTGGGGTCACTGCTGGATCAGAGGAGGCTCATGGGGAGGAGCCGCTAAGACACAGAGAGCTGGACATTGAGGAGACTGAGGAGCACAGTGATGACAGACCTCCTCCTGGGGACAGATCAGTGTCACAGCAGGGATCCCCCATCTCCAGGAACAAGGCCAGTGAGGGGTATCAGGTTGGGGAACTCACGGCACCTGACCCTCACATGCTTGAGGGAGAAAAACTGAAAAACACAGAAGAAAGAGACTCAAAAGAGGCAGAGCTGGAGCAGAAAACTAAGTTGTCAGTAGCTGCGCCCCCCGAAAAGGTGAGAAGATTCACTGTGGACCGACTCAGACAGCTGGGAGTGGATGTTTCCATCCAGCCACGGCTGGGCGCTGATGAAGATTCCTTTGTGATACTCGATGAGCCTGAAACCAACAGAGGTAACCCTTGACTGGGGAGACCCTGGGGTGGTTCACACGGCCGCTTTTGATACTGTGGAAGATGGTGAATGTGGGGGAAGCCAGTGATTGCACACAGTCTTATTCTAGATGCACGAGAATCCCATTCAGATGAGTTTGACAGAATGTCAGAGGGACCTTTTCAGTCTTTTCTCAGATGGAAACCTGGTGATAATTAACATACTGAATAGGCATACTGCTGTTGGGCTATGATATTTAGGAATTTATTTCTGCCTTTCTGACTTGAACATCTAAATTTTTCTATGAACTGTGTCAGATCTTATTAAATCATTCATAAAAACATTCCATTTTTCACAGCCAGAGAGAAACCTTTGGTCCACTTAAATTGTCAGCAAAACTGAATTTCTTCCCCCAACCCCACACTCAACAGAAACTAAACTGTTTGCTGCATTTATAAAATTTATACTGCTTTCTGAGCTGGCAGAGCAAGGTTACCTGTAACTTGTTAAGAATCCTGTTTTACAAGCAGGCCACTCTATCATCCACCCAGGTAAATGGTACTTTGACTGTAGGGACTGGGAAGATGGCTCACTGGTGAAGAGCACTTGTTGCTCCACCAGAGGACCAGAGAGTTTGGTTCCCAGCACCCACGTCTGATGGTTCATAACTACGTATAACTGCAGCTCCAGGGACTCTGGACATTCTCATGTCTAATGTTTCTCTGGCTAGTCTCAAACTCAAACTGTGTAGCCATGGGCAACCTTAACGTTCTGAGTGGTGGGGTTGCAGGTATGCACTACCATGCCTGGTTCGTGGATGCTAGGGATTGAACCTAGGACTTCCGGCAGGCTGGGTGAGCACTCTACCAAGTGAGTCACATCCCTGTCCCTAGAATATACTACAAATTATTTAACTGAGTTTAGGGTATTTAGTTATTGTTGAATCAGGATCTCTCTGTGTAGTTCAGGCTAGCTTTGAACTCCCAGTCCTCCTGCTTCTGCCTCCTCCCTACCCCTCCACCCCCCCAAAAAAAAAAAAAAAAAAAGACTGTTTCAATTAGCAGCTTATCATTGGCAGGGGCTATGTCAGCCACTGTGCCCAGTATAAAATCTGCCTGGTGACTGTTGGGTAGATGGACTTTGTAGACTTTGTCGAGGAGAGAGGAGTCAGGGTCTCACTATGTAACCTTGGCTGTCCTAAAACTCATAGATCAAGCTGGCCTCAAACTTGGCAGCATTCCTCGACCTCTGCCTCCCAAGTACTGGTATTACAGGTGTGCATTATGAGCATGTCTGAGAAGGATGTTTTTGAAAATGACAGAAAAAGTTCTGCATGGCACATATTGGGAGAAGATGAGGGCTTGATTGGAACTAGAGATATAGTGTGTGGGGGTTATGTGGAGAAGATGAGGGCTTGATTGGAACTAGAGATACAGTGTGTGTGTGTGGGGGGGAGGGGGGTTATGTAACACAACTGCATAGATTCATCAGCAAAGGACAAGAAGTAGCCCTGGGTTAAGATACAGGATATCTTCTTTTATCTTCCTTAATTCTTGTAGCTCTGGAGATTATTTTGCAAAATGAAGAAACAGGCTCAGGAGTTGTGTGATTTTTTTCCAGCATGACACTTAGCTTATACAGAACCTAGCATAGTACTTGCCACATGATGGACACTTCTTATAACTCAGCATGTTTTCCAGCTAGGTATGGTGGCACATGCCTTTAGTCCCAAAACTTGGGAGGCAGAGACAGGCTGATCTCTGTCAGTTCAAGTCTGTCTTGGTCTACTTAGAGAGTTCTAGGACAGCCAGAGCTACATAGTCAGACCCTGCCTGACTCAAAAAAGTTTAGTTTTCCTTTAAGCATAATTGATGTGAAAGCTTAGTTTCCTGACTAGTCCTTTTCATGATATTGTGGACATGAAGTTGGAGTCAACATTAATGCAGTAAACTTTGATTTAGTATTTTGTTGGGTACTATGGGTACAAGTAAGACACAATCCCTCTTACTTGGATTAGAAATTCAGAGAAGTTTCTAGAAGATAAGATAAAACAAAAGAGCCATCAGAGTCCTGAAAACTGAGGAGGAGCTACCAAGGCAGGGAGGGAGAAGACAGCTTTTCTGGTAGAGACAACTAACTGCAAAAGACTCAGAAAATAGAAATCACAGGGAGTGCTGGCTGCTGGGTTTGAAGGTCGGGGGATTGACAATGACAGGCTAGAGCCTGTAGGGGTTGGGGGCATGTTAGAGCTTTGATTGCTCCTTTCCTAGTAAAGGACCGTTGAAAAGTTTCGTTTTTTTAAACAGGAAAAATGAGTCCATCACTTATTCATTTTAGGAAGTTCAAGCAGATGACTAGCATAGTTGATGCCTTGAAGGGCTCAAGATTGATATTAAGGAGCTGGGCATGATGCCATGTGCCTATAATTCTAGCACTTACAAGGCTGAAGCAGAATTATTGAAAGTTCAAGACCACCCTGGGCTATGTAGCAAGTACCAGGCCAGCCAAGGCTACATAGCCAAGACCCTGTTTCAAAAACCTAAGAAACAGAAAAGGGGGTTGCAGAGATGGCTCAGTGGTCAAGAGCATGTGCTGCTCTTGCAGAGGATCCAAGTTCAGTCCTAGCACCCATGTCTGGCAGCTCACAACCACCTGTAACTCCAGTTCCAGGGCTCTGATGCCTCTGGGCCTCCAGGGGCACCTGTAGTCACGTGTACATAAACACACACACACACACACACACACACACACACACACACACACACAAAATTTTTAAATAAATTTAAAAAAGTACAAACAAGAATGAAAAGAGTGATAATATCTCAATTTATCTCCTAGTTAATTTCCATGAGAAAAATGAATGTAGATTTAATTTAATCATGTAGGAAATACACTATTCCTATTCCTTGCGAAGGTACAGGAAATAGTCTGTAGCTCTCGTTAGTGGAAATGAGAGCAGTGGACCGGAGCTACTGGTATAGACTTGAGCTGGGGCAGAGCCTTTTCACTTGGCAAGAGATGAAAGGTGCTAGGAAAAGACTGAGGGAGGAGAGGAGAGTAAGGGATGGCTGAGTCGAGTGGTGATGGGCAAAGAGAGTGGTTGTTTCACCAATCCCAAGACAGAGAGCCTCAAAAGCCGTCACTTTCTCTAGTTATGAATGAAGGCGCTTCCTCACTATCCTTTTAGGGCCTTAGTGAATTCTTCCTACTCAGCTGCTTTGTTTTATTAGCATCAATAATGATCTGCCTATTTGTGTTCCCTTTCTGCTGGTGCCACCTGTTGCTTCCAAGTTTACCGAGCCACTATAAATAGGAGGCAGACTTAGGGTTTCTCTCACTGCTCTTTTGTCTGTAAGTAGAAACAACATCTTTTAGAGCTGTATTTTTACTGCTAATTATTGTTAGAAACACAATAAAAGGCCAGGCGGCATTGGCACACGCCTTTAATCCCAGCACTAGGGAGGCAGAGCCAGGCGGATCTCTGTGAGTTTGAGGCCAGCCTGGTCTACAGAGTGAGATCCAGGACAGGCACCAAAACTACACAGAGAAGCCCTGTCTCGAAAAAAAGAAAGAAAGAAACACAATAGAAAATTTTTGTCTCCTTCTTAGGGAAAGTAAAGTACACATGTAGATGCTAACCATATTAATACTAACATGGGATTTGAATGCATGTTTTTAAAAAAATTAACCATTGGCTGGGTGTGCTGGTGCATACCTGTAGTCTCAGCACTCAGATGGCAGAGGGAGGAGGAGTAGGATTCAAAGAAACCTGGACAACATGAGATTCTGTCTCTAAAAACAGACAAAATAATAATAAGATCCATCAAAAGATAAGCTTTTTATTTTTATACTTTTAAAACTAATCTTGCCTCTTTTTAAAAAGTTACTATTTATTTGTTTCATTTTATATATATGTGCTTGAGTGTATGAATGTGTACTATGTGTGTGCAGGAGCCCTTGGAGGTCAGAAGGCATTGGGTTCCCCTGGAACTGGAGTTACAGGCAGTTGTAAACTACCATGTGGGTGCTGGGTACCAAACCCAGGTCCTCTGCAAGAGCAGCCAGTGCTCTCTTTTTGTGGGGGGGGGTGGTTTCGAGACAGGGTTTCTCCGTGTAGCTTTGCACCTTTCCTGGAACTCGCTTTATAGATCAGGCTGGCCTCGAACTCACAGAGATTCACCTGCCTCTGCCTCCTTAGTGCTGGGATTAAAGGCATGTGCCACCACTGCCCAGCCAGCCAGTGCTCTTATCCACTGAGCCATCTCTAGCCTCAAATTAAACTTGTTTTATTTTTTGAGACAGTGTCTCACTATGTAGCCCTGGCTGGCCTGAAACTTGCTATGTAGACCAAGATAGCCTTGAACTCATAGAGACACACCTGCCTCTTTAATCCCGAATGCTGGGGTTAAAGGTATGTACCACCACACCAGGCTCCAAATTAAGCTTTGTAATAGCTGAATTTAAGGCGAGTTTTTTGTTTTGTTTTGTCTTTTGTTTTTACTACTGATTTGATACTAAACATGAAGCAGCGGCTGCAGAGGGCCCAAAGAGCAAAAGCACTTGCCATCAAGTCTGTAGACCTGAGTTTGATCCCGGGAACCCACAAGATGAAAAGAAAGAACTAACTCTAATAAGTGTTCTCGGACCACCACACATGTGCCATGGTGTGCATTCACACACACACACACACACACACACACACACACACACACACACACACAGTGATAAGTGTAATAAAAATTTGCTTTAAAATGTCTGGTTTTTAAAACAGAGAGACAGTGTATGAATTTTATTCAGACCTTAAGTAGCAAGGGGGGTTTGGTTTCTCTGTTATTTTCCTTGATGCTGTTAAGCTGGAAAACGTATGGTTCTTAACTGGAATCTTCAAGGAAAGAGCAGGAGCATGACAAACTGTCGCACTGGTTCACATTTGGGTTTAGAATTGGAAGCCTTGAAGCAGCGCTTCTGGAGACATGCTAATCCAGCAGCCACTCCCAGGGCTCGTCAGACGGTGAACGTGAACATCATAGTGAAGGACTTGGGCAGTGATGGGAAGGAAGAGCTAAAGGCAGATGTGGTGCCTGTGACTTTGGCAGCTGAGAAGCTGGATGAAGCAAGCCACACAAAACCAGGTATTTGTATTTATTATTGAAGGCCCTATTGTAAAAAGTTACAGAATCCTTTTCCTTGGAGACTTGCACAGTGAGAGATGTGGGGTGGGTACTATAGCTTTATTTCTTAAAATGGCACTTACCAAGTAATAAATACTGTAGAAAAATGTATAGAGAAGCCAGGCCTGGTGGTGCACACAAGTGCACACCCCAGCATTTGGGAGGCTGAGGCAGGAGAATTACCTCTTTTACCAAGCTTACTTTTTAATCGTTTGTCTTTATATAAATAAGCATGTTGATGTTTTCTGTCATGGCCTCCTTTGTTACGTTTCCAGCACTGAGACTCAAATTCAGAGTCCCCTTGCATGCTAACCAAGTGATTTTCTACTGAGCTGCATTCCTGTTCCTTAGAGCTCCAGACTCCAGGCTTCAGGCCTCATTCTCTCCCCACCATCCTGTAAACAGTTACTTATAATTAACTGGGTGTGGACATTGTCTTCTATACTATCCTATGTTAAAATAAGTAAAAGCCAGCTGTGCAGTGGTGGTGGTGCAAGCCTTTAATCCCAACACTTGAGGCAGAGACAGGTGGGTCTTTGTGAGGCCAGCCTGATCTGCAGAGCTAGTTCCAGGACAGCCAAGGCTACACAACCCCTGTCTTGAAAACAAAAAACATAAGTAAAAGCCTTGAGTACTAAGGTCTTTGTTTTTCCTTTGGGGTGTCTAGCGTACAAATAGAGTTACTTAAATTGCATGTTTACTTATTGTATTGTGTAGTCAGTCACATCTAAAGTATACTGATTTTGTTGTTGTTGTTGTTGTTCAGGTGAAAAGCTGCAGATGCTAAAAGCTAAATTGCAGGAGGCAATGAAACTGCGAAGGTTTGAGGAGCGGCAAAAGCGCCAAGCATTATTTAAATTAGATAATGAAGATGGCTTTGAGGAGGAGGAGGAGGAGGAGGAAGAGGAAGAAATGACAGAGGAGTCTGAAGAAGATGGAGAAGAGGAGGTTGAAGAAGAGGAGGAGGATCAAGACATTCCAGAGGTTTGGGGCAATTATGTAATTTTGTTACTTGGTCATGATGTGTAAGAGAAAGTAAGAGTTAAGATTTATTTATTATGTGTAGGGATGTTTTACCTACAGTGCCTGTGGAGGCTACAATGGGACAGTGGATGCTCTGGAACTGCAGTTACAAATGGTTGTTAGCTGGCGTTGGGGACTGAAACAGAGTTCTCTGGTCGGCAGAAAGTTTGTTTTTGTTTCGATGTGTATGTATGTTTTACCTGTATGCATGTGTGTGAACCACATGTGTGCCTGGAGTATGGATGAAAATAGCTGTCTAGGCTGGGGACTTAGCTCAGTGGTAGAGAACTTGCCTAGCAAGCACAAGGCCCTGGGTTCGGTCCTCAGCTCCGGGGGAAAAAAAAGAAAATAGCTATCTAAGCCAGATGGTGGTGGTGCTCACCTTCAATCCCTGCACTCAGGAGGCAGAGGCAGGTGGATCTCTGTGAGTTCGAGGCTAGCCTTGTCTACAAAGCAAGTTCCAGAACAACCAGGACTACACAGAGAAACTGTGTCTCAAAAAAAAGGAAGAAAGAAAACAGCTGTCTTATATGTGCTCAAAGCTCAGCACATACAGTTCTGTTGGCAACATTGAGTGCCTGCAGTTTTCAGCTGTCTGTGTCCTGTTTCTACCTGTTAGTGTATGTACTTTAACATAGTGCTAACATTGAAAATAACTTACTAATAAGGACTTTTATGTTTCTCTTCGACCGATATTGAAAAGCGATCATTCTTGTTTGGGTTGAGGTCTGGAATAAGTTCTCAAGCAAGAGGTCTTCCTAAGTTAATCTCATTTCTTATTAAGAAGGACATTTATCGATGAGCCTCTGGCCCTGCTCCATAGGAGTTTTACGCCCCAGGGGAGGCAATGGTTGGTTATGTGGCTGTTAGGTATGAAAAGAGCTTTCTTGTCAGTTGAAAGACATGGTTAGTATTTAACCCTGAATAAAGAAAGAAGGCAGCGGCTGAGCTGGACAGCACGTCATAGTCTGTGGTTGACTGTGATCTTAGTCATGTTTGCTAATCTAATCTTCCTTCATAATTTTGTTTTAATTTTGGGAGTGTGAAGTCAGCTAGGCATGGTGGTGCACACCTTTAATCCCAGCACTCAGGAGGCAGAAGCAGGAGGATCTCTGAATTCCAGGCCATCCTGGTCTACAGAGCGAGTTCAATCTAGTCAGGCAGCCAGGCCCACAGAGTGAGATCCTGTCTCAAGAAACAAAACAAGGCAAAAAAACCCAAAAACCAAAGAATAAAAACAACTATAAAGAGTATCAGGGAATGACATTGCTGACAGTACTCAGACTGAACTTGTTTCAAGTTCACCTTTTTTTTTTTTTTTACATGATTGGCATAGACTACAGAATTTCTTCTTGGTAGTGAAGATACAGAAACCAAAGATGACAAAGAGACAGACAAAGAAAATACGGACGTCAGTAGTGAAATCGGCAAGTGTGTTGACCTCTCTGTTCCCAAGCCCCTCTCCTCGGATTCCACCTTACTTCTGTTTAAGGACAGCTCTTCCAAGATGGGGTAAGTTATTCGAAGGAAATACAAAATTCTTTTGGGTTTCTAAAGGCTTGTATTTTTTTAAGGGGTGTGTGTCTTTGTGTGGATATGTGCACATGAGTGCAGGTACCTGAGGAAGCCAGAAGAGGGCATTGGATCCCCCGGAGCTGGAGTGGTTGTGAGCCACCTGATGTGGGTTCTGGGAACCGATCTTGGGACCTCTGGAAGAGCAGTGCACATCTTAACCATGGGGCCGTTTCTCCAGCCCACCCTTTGGATTTCTTACAAGGGAATAAAGAGTAAGAACAGATACTCAAGCAGTTTACTATTTTATTTTATAGTTACTTTCCTACTGAAGAAAAATCGGAAACAGATGAACACTTGGGCAAGCAGTCTGGCAAACTGGGTAAGCAGTGGTTCTTACAGAAAACTTTTCTTTCTTTCTTTTTTTTTCTTTATTATTTTTTTTTTTCTAGTGACAGCACATTCTTTTGGGGGTCCCTGGGTAAGACAGGCTTTCCCTATGTGGCATTGGCTGTCCTAGAACTCTGTAGACCAGGCTGGCCTCAAACTCACAGAGATCCGCCTGCCGCTGCCTCCCGAGTGCTGGGATTAAAGGCGTGCGCCACCACCTCCCGGCCTACTGTTGTCTTTTTAACGTTGACTTATATTTCTTTTATGAGTATTAATGTTTTGCCTGCATGAATGTGTGTGACTGGTACTCACAGAGGTCAGAGGCGTTGGATCCCATGGAGCTAGAGTTACAGGTGGTTGTAAGCTGCCATGTGGGTGCTGAGAACTGAACCCAGGCCATCTGCAAGAGCAGCAAGGGCTCTTGACTGCAGAGCCATCTCTCCAGCCTCTGGGCTGCATTTTTATAGTAGACCATGGGCATGTGGTAGGTCCTGAGTGGGTGGATATATGTTGATTTGTTGATTGAGTGAAACATAATATTTCTATACATAGATCAAAGAAATGTGTGTAATTTGATAGACTAATAAAGACTGATGAAAGCCTTAGGCAGAGGAAGAGAAGGAGGAGAACTTCCAGGTATCACATAGCTCAGAGTAATGAGTCCTAATTACACAATGCTATTGTAGTAAATTAATTTACCTTCAACAGAATGATTTGGAGCCCAGAACTTAAGGGGCTTGCCGGTGAATTTTAGTTGTTTGATTCTCAGCTCTTTTTCCTAAACGAATCACCTGTTTCTGTAATCTGACCTTTAAGAGGTATTTCTCTCCTCTGTTAGATGAAGATGACTCCTGTTCACTGCTGACAAAGGAGAGCAGCCACAATAGCAGCTTTGAGCTGATTGGCTCCACAATTCCATCCTATCAGCCTTGCAACAGACAAACAGGCCGTGGGACCAGTTTTCTCCCTACAGCAGGTGGATTCAGATCCCCTTCCCCTGGGCTGTTTCGAGCCAGTTTGATCAGCTCAGCTTCTAAGGTAAGGTGGTGATAGTTTTCTAATCTCCTCCTCCTTTTACTTCCCACATTGCTAAATAAAGTGTGTCCCAGCCAACCAACTCCCACCACCTTGGTACTCAGCTTATGTGTGTTCAGCTTTAAAAATCCACCCGCTTTGTGTATTAGCAAGCGTTCTTCTTGCTTAGAGGTATTTTTCCGTGGGTTCCTTTGACTGTGCACTGTCCTCCTCAACTGTAGTTGCCTGAGAGCAGATGACATAGTGCAAGCAGCAGCTTCTGTTGTTGTCATGACACTGAATGGCATTTGTAAAATGTTTTGCTCTTGTTTTTGTTTTGGTGCCAGAGTTCAGGAAAACTGTCTGAGCCTTCACTTCCCATAGAGGATTCCCAGGATCTGTACACCGCCTCCCCAGAGCCTAAGACACTTTTCCTAGGAGCAGGAGACTTCCAGTTCTGTTTAGAAGATGACACTCAGAGCCAACTGTTGGATGCAGATGGGTAGGTAGTTTTGTGTTTCTGTGGGTGGGAATGGGGCTGGGTGCTGCTTAATTCTGTTTAAAAATAAAATGAGCTTCTGTCACTCCATCTGGGCTTTCTCTTCCGAGAAAGAGAAGGTGTGCCGACCAGTAGTCTTATATTCTACGAGTTTGAACAAAGTCTCAGAAAAGAAAATGTAAATAACCTTGCTGACATTCCGACCCTCTGATCTTATTTCAAACACATAGATATTGTAAGTGCTTTCTATGTTCATTTCTCTGTTCTGATTGTGGGGTAAGATTGGGATCTAACACCCATCCCTAGAAGCCAACCTTTGTACCTTACCTTTCGACAAAACCTCCCTACCCTCTTTCGGGTAGCATGAGGCTAACGTTTGGATCTTGTTTTCTGGGGTAAAGCACAGTGTGCTGGTCACTGTTCTCATCACTCTGACAATCAGCTCAAAGAAGGAAAGGGACTTGTGCCTTATGGTTCCAGTGGATACCATGTGTCACGGCAGGTCAGTCTCGGTGGCCGGAACAGAAGGCACCGGGCACATGGCCACCACAGTCAGGAAGAAGAAAGCAACAAATGCTTCCGTTCAGCTCCTTTTCTCTTTGTCAATCAGGCCAGGACCCCAGCCCATGAAATAGTACCGCCCACAGTCAGGCTGGGTCTCCTACCTCAGTTAACCTAATCTAAATGATCCCTTGAAGACAGGTTTGTTTCCATGGTGATTCTAAGCTCCATCAAGTTGAAATTCACAATTCACATCAACTTCTTTTTGCTTTTCTTTTTATAGTTTTTTTCAAAATTACATTTTGTTTATCCTGTGTGTGTGTACGTGTGAGCACATATGTGCCATGGCACACGTAAAAAGATCATAGGACAACTTGCTGCCGTTGGCTCCCACCACCATGTGGATCCTGGGGATTGAACTCGTATCATCAGGCTTGGCAGCAAGCACCTTTACCCACTCGGCCATCTTGCTGGTTGCGTTCAGCTTCTAACCCTAGTGTTGGAAATCAGACAGTTTTTACCTGCAGTTTTGTCTCTTCTCTGGGTAATTTCTGACACTTCATTGTGCTTGTAGATTTTTAAACATTAGAAATCACCGGAATCGATATCAAGCTTTGAAGCCTCAGTTGCCACTGGCCAGTATGGATGAGAACGCCATGGATGCCAACATGGATGAGCTGCTGGATTTGTGTACTGGACAGTTTACATCTCAGTCTGAAGAGAAATGTCCACCTCAGAAGAATAACAAAAAAGAAGACATGGAGGAACTTCTGAATCTTTGCTCAGGCAAATTTCCTTCTCAAGGTAAATATTCAGTGAAAGTTTCCGGCTTACCACAGCCAGACAGCTTACATCAGCATCCCTGAAAGGAAGCCCTTGCCCCTCAAAGTGAGTGCACAGAAAACAGGCATGTGATGGAATTCACTCTTAGTTCCCCACTTTTATAGCTCTTCCTTCCTTAGAGTGACAGTGTCAAATAAATGCTTTAGCTTTGACCCAAGTTAACCTGTATACAAAGCTTAAAACCTCATCTGGTATATAGTAA